ACAGGTCTGTCGCTGTATAACGCTGGGGTACAGTACCGGTGGGGACACGTCTGTCTCTGTGTAACGCTGGGGTATAGTACCAGTTAGGACAGATCTGTCAGTGTAGAATGGGGACATATGTGTCAGTGTAGAACACTCGGGGTACAGTACTAGTGGGGATGTGTCTGGAGTGAGAGTTCCCCCTCAGCATTTCCAGCCTGTGACCTGATCGTGTCCCTCCTGCACTGATACAGTCACTGCAGTTCAGTTTCTGGGCCATTGCAATCACCAGATGTTTGAACCAAATCTGATCGCGATTCAGTGTTTACTGTCGCTGTGTGCCCCTGTCTCGCTGTGACCCCGTCTCGCTGTGCCCCTGTCTGGCTGTGACCCTGTCTCGCAGTGCCCCTGTGTCACTGTGCCCCTGTCTCGCTGTGCCCCTGTCTCGCTGTGCCTCTGTCTGGCAGTGACCCTGTCTGGCTGTGCCCCTGTCTGGCTGTGCCCCTGTCTGGCTGTGCCCCTGTCTGGCTGTGACCCTGTCCCTCTGTGACCCTGTCCCTCTGTGACCCTGTCTCGCTGTGCCCCTGTCCCTCTGTGACCCTGTCTCGCTGTGCCCCTGTCTCGCTGTGCCTCTGCCTGGCTGTGACCCTGTCCCTCTGTGACCCTGTGTCGCTGTGACCCTGTCTGGCTGTGACCCTGTCTGGCTGTGACCCTGTGTCGCTGTGCCTCTGTCTGGCTGTGACCCTGTCTCGCTGTGACCCCGTCTCGCTGTGACCCCATCTCGCTGTGCCCCTGTCTGGCTGTGACCCTGTCTCTCTGTGACCCCATCTCGCTGTGCCCCTGTCTCGCTGTGCCCCCGTCTCGCTGTGCCCCCGTCTGGGTGTGACCCTGTCTGGCTGTGCCCCCATCTCGCTGTGCCCCCGTCTCGCTGTGCCCCTGTCTCGCTGTGACCCCGTGTCGCTGTGACCCTGTCTCGCTGTGACCCCACCTCACTGTGACCCCGTCTCGCTGTGACCCTGTGATTATCGATTGGTTGATGTTGTGTTTTTCAGGATTGCAGTGAGTAATGGTTCCGGGATACCTGGCCCTCTTCCTGAGCCTGATGTCTGGATAAAGCAAGAGCCTGTACAGCCCCTCCTGATCCCAGGTTCCCATCAGGTCTCTGTGTACAGTGCTCAACCTAGCCTGGGTCCAGGTCGTACCGTCCCGTGCCGCAGTCTGAGTGCCTCTCCCAGGATCCGGACTTTGAGCAGGACTGACAGCCCATCACCGTGCCGACGTCGGAGACTGAACACAGCTTTGTCAGGGAGTAGTATGAGGGCCCAGGCTCACACACAGCCTGGGCTCAGTGTTCACCACAACAGAGCCCGAAGCCAGGCTCCTGCTACCAAAGTCAGGCCACTGGCTGCTGTAGGCCAGCAGGCTGCAAGATAATGGACTGCGGTCTAAACCCAGGCACTGTTGGCCTCAGGTTACACAGCATCATCCCACAGTAATCAGCATGGAATTCTCCAACACAGCAGCCCTGGCTTAGCTCCACACCCACCCCCCACCACACACACACTCACACACACACTCACACACACACTCACACACACACACAGATACACGCACATATATACACACACACAGACACAGATACAACACACCCATACACACACACCCACACACACATGCACACATACACACACGCACACACACAGACACAAACAGACGCACACACACACGCACGCACGCACAGACATACACACAGACACACACACAGACACAGACACAGACACATACACCTCTGTTTTTGGGCTGACAGTAACACAGGAGGGACAATTATCTCAACATTATAGGAGCAAATAGGTCCACACTCTGTCTGTACCAACACTGCAAAACAACCCCATCTGAGCAACGCAAGACTTCAAACATCCTTCACCTACACAGCACCAATAGTGGAGAACAGGTCAGCTCATTCACAGCGAGGGTTCCAGAACTGAGAGAGAGAGAGCACTCCCCCTTCGCTTTGTAACACACTGCACTCCCCCTCACTTCCCACCCTCACTCCCCTCTCACTCTGCAACACACTGCACTCCCCCTCAGAGCTCCCCCCTCATTCTATGTAACACGGTGGATTGTGTCTGCCTTGTCCTTCACACTGATTTCCATTTGCTGCTCCGGCTCTGCCTGCTTGGTTCACCCTCTGAGCTGACTTGCTGTGTGGAACAGCATTATTCCCAGTTTGTCTGGGTCAGAGGGAGCTGCTGCTGAGGAGCCTTTGCCCACAGCACTAGCTGCTGCTGCTTGGGATCACTTGCAGCAGGCAGAGACTGGAATGCCAGGGAGTTGGGACAGGACGAGGGCCTAGCACTCAGCTTGGCATGGTGTGAGCTCCTGTTCTAGAGGGCCTGCCCTACCAAACGCTGTGTCCTTTCCACTTCCCTTCCTTCCCTAACCCAGTCACTATTTGCTAACAAGGTGAAAAACTGTAGCCACAGGTTTGGGTCAAAAATCACAGTTTGATCAGGGGTTTGCCAATAACATACCTGAATATTTCTTTACAACTTAAAATGAAGCAGCTACGTTATTGTTTACACATTGCCAATAGAATGTAAAAACAATGGAAAATAATGTATTCTGCATGGCACTTGTATCAGCTGGCAACCAGAACATGGCATGTCTCGTTTAGTTCCTCAAACATGCACAGGAAGCTCAGAGTGACTCTTCCTTCAGCTGAAGATAGAAGCGATCACACCATGTCTGTATGTTACATCGATTCACTTCTCTTTGTAAGAGAGGAGCTCACTCATGCTTCCTCAGCTTTGCTTTGTAATTCTTGCAAAGGCAGCAGTAACTAATCCAGGAAAGAGCAATCTCTCCCAGTACATTTTCTGCACATTTCAAATATCAGCATTTTAATCCAGAATGGCTGGCATCGAACATTTGGTTAATATTAAACAAATCCGATTGCTTGCTTCTCAATTTTCAGGTCTGCTGTCAGCGGTTGCTTTCTGTCACGGTTTGGTGTGAACACACTTGCAAGGATTTTCATTGAAGCTGATGGTTTCGGAGAGCAGCTGGTTCCCACCACTGTACTCTCAACATCAGCAACACAGCGTGGGGGGAATTAGCAGGAGGATTGTACAGGAACAACAAGCCATCTCCACACACAGGGCAGGCTGATTGACGTGCACTTCCCCATTAGTCAGACCCGGTCACTGTTATTGCCTTGTGTGACATCGAATGTGTCCCTCTAGTCCCGAAACATTCCTGCCCCATTGTCTGTGAATCACAAAGAAAACTGACAGCCAGGTTCAGTGGGTAATTGAATAAAATGTTGGCCTTTCTTTCGAAGGCGATGGAGTATAAAATTAGTGAGGCATTGCTAAAACTACAGAGCACCTTTCAGAATTTAGCTGGAATACTGTTAAAATTAGTAAGAGAATTGTGGGTTTCAGGGATAAAGGTAGGAGAGTGAATTGGTCATCAGATCAGTCATGATCTCATCAAATGGCAGAGCAGACTGGATGGGTTGAATGGCCTACTTCAGATGAACAGAGTCAGAGAGCACAGTATTCCACTCCAATCCAACCTTAGCCTCTAACTGCAAGGTTGCAAATATCCAGTTTGCACTGAGACAGTGACCAGGAGGCCAGTAAAGGCAGAGCTAAAGGTGTAGAAGTTACGGTAGGACAGGGAACAATTTTCCGAATGTTTAATTTCAAACAAAAGAAACACAGGAAATGCTGGAAATGTGTCAGCAGGTCTGACAGCATCAGTGGAGAGAGAAGAACAGAGTTAATGTTTCATATCAGTGGTCTTTTATCTAATCTCAGAGAAGCGAGGAAGTGAGGAAAACACAGATCCCACAGAGTATTCCTTCAACAGAACACTTGGTCAGTTTGATGGAGGAGGACATTTTAAAGGTTGAACTCACTGTAAGATCTAACTGTAACATTTAATTGAACTTTCACAGGTTTTAAGAAGCTACTCGTTTGGGTTAGTCACTGATGCATAAGCTGACTGCTCATGACAACAGCACAGTTAGTTTTGAATCAGAGATAGTAGGAACTGCAGATGCTGGAGAATCCGAGACAACAAGGTGCAGGGCTGGATGAACACAGCAGGCCAAGCAGCATCAGAGGAGCAGAGAGGCTGATGTTTCGGGCCGAGACCCTTCATCAGACCCGTTCAAAGGAAGCGGCAACTCCCTCTGAATGCTGCCAGATAACCACCATCGAAAGGAAACAGAACCAAAGGTTTTCAACAGACCCTCAAAATCCAACAATCCCAAAATTGACTGTTCAACTATGTCTTCTTTCCAGCCGACTCAGACTGAACTGTGTCATCTTCTTCGTCCCAATCTGTTTGTGTGTGTGTGTATGATGTCTTTCACAGTTAGAAACTAATATAGTCACTGCTTATTAACTCAGGGAAGTGGTTACATTGGCTCCTTTTAAAATGTGAATTCATTTGGATCTGAGAAAGGCACCCACAAGAGAGGGATCCTTTGTGAATGAAGTTTGTTGGGACTAAATGAGGGCAGGAGAATAAAGAATGGGAGTTGAATTAATTTGGGATACTTCTGGAGCTGTAACTAACTGGGGAACATTATCTGGGCTCTGTTCCAAACAAAACTGGGAGTTTATACCACAATTTGAACCCACGGACGAAATGAAAGGATTTGAGTTGGTAAATTGTCATTTTGAAATCACTTATAAAGAAACCAAACTGCAAATGTTTTTTTTTGAACTGACAATGCTACAATATAGAAAATCCTCATTCGATGCTAGAACTTTTCCAACAGAATTCAGAAATGGAAGAACGGGAAAAGGAGCAAGGAGGGAAGAGAGGGAGTTTTAGGACAAGGAGATTTATTAAAGCACAGTATGTGCAGCAGGAGCTTTACAGTGTCTCACAAAAACTTCAATGGCTCAGACTTGAGAGTGGAGACAACTCAGATTGTCCATGTCATTCCTACATTTGAGAAGCAGAACTGTAAACTTTCTTCACCTCATTTAAGTTAATTTCACAGCAGTGTCCAGTCCGACAGTGGTCCTTATTACTGCGGAGTATGTTCTTGGGGAATGCCATAAGAAATAGGAACAGGAGCAGGCCATTCAGCCCCTTGAGCCTGCTCCATCATTCAACAGGGTCAGGGCTGATCCGACATTCCTCACAACCACTTTCCCTGTAACCCTTGATACCGACTGATCAAGATTCTATCTCAGCCTTAGGACCCGACCAGCTCGATCAGTAGTACTGCTGCCGAGCCACTCTTGGTGGTGGACATTGAAATCCCCCACCCAGAGTACATTTTGTGCCCTTGCCATCCTCAGTGCATCCTCTAAGTGTTGTTCAACATGGAGGAGAGACTGATTCATCAGCTGAGGGAGGACGGTATGTGGTAATCAGCAGGAGGTTTCCTTGCTCATGTTTAACTTGAAGTCATGAGACTTCATGGGATCTGGGGTCAATGTTGAGGATTCCCAGAGTAACTCCCTCCCCGACTGTATCCCATTGTGCTGCCACCTCTGCTGGGTGTGTCCTGCCGGTGGGACAGGACATATCCAGGGATGGTGATGGTGGTGTCTGGGACATTGTCTGTAAAGTATGATTCTGTGAGTATGACTATATCAGGCTGTTGCTTGTCTAGCCTGTGAGACAGCTCTCCCAATGTTGGCACTAACCCCCAGATGTTAGTGAGGAGGACTTTGCGGGTTCAACAGGGCTGTTTCTGCCGCCGTCTTTTCCAGTGCCCAGGTTGATCCCAGGTGATCCGTCCAGTTTCATTTCTTTGAGGCTTTGTAGCAATTGGTTCAACTGAGGGGCTTGCTCGGCCATTTCAGAGAGCAATTAAGAGTCAACCCCATTGCTGTGTCACATGTAGGCCAGACCAGGTGAGGGTGGCAGATTTCCTCCCCGAAGTACATTAGTGAACCAGATGGGTTTTTCTGAGGATGAACGATGGTTGTCATAGTCACAGTGTGTGGGACTCGGTTCCAGCTGCAGTTGAGCTTCATTTCTGTTTCAGTGGCAGGTGAACCTGTCTCCCCAGATCATTGACAATCGGTGTTTGACTGGTCCAGTCCAGTTTGCATGGCCACAGTCCCCCCCTTTGGGAGTTGGTTGTATTTCTGGGCTCAGTCCTGGCCTGGAATATCTCTGTCCATGGAATGTGTTGTTTGGAGACAGTAGGGTGAGGGATGAGATGCAAATGACGAGCTTCCCATTCCCCTGTCCTTGCTGATGTTTCAGGGCCAGATGCTGCTCAACTCAAACAGCAGGCTGGTTCCCTGAGACACGGAGCAGACAGAATGCTGCGGGAGGGGTCCCCGGGGGAGGGGGTCCCTGGGGCTGGGGGAAGGGGAGGGAGTGGTGGACCTGGGGGAGGGCGGGTGTTCCCCGGGGCCAGGGGAGGGGGAGGGCGCGGGGTTCCCCGCAGCCGGGGGAGGGGGAGG